TTTAGGTCCGCGAGCAAACCGGGCAGCGAGACAAGGTCGCGATGGCAAGTTGCAAGACCGAATCTACAACCAAACTAGGCCACCTTAGGCAACCCATCAGATCCTGCAACTCTAATCAACGCCTCAAAAGATAGCCCTAATGTGGCAAGCCGGAGGGTCAGCCTCCACTGGATGCCCCTCCTGGGCATTGCAGCACTTTAATAAGTCCTGTACTGGACAGAAGTCCGACGACCTATTTCAAACACCTATCTGTGCCCCTACGATTAGTTCCGCAATCCGACCGGATCAGTTCTGCAAACAGCAACGCTACACGAAGCTGCCCAGACCAATTTTGTGCCAGCAGTTGCTTCAGTGCAGAGCTCACCCACAAATTCCACATGAACGTCGTCTGTGGAGAGCCAAACGAAACGCACAGATAGTCCCTAGTATGAATTTTCAACAAGTAGGCCTAGCCAGGCCACCCACCATATTATCATTTACTAAAATAGTGCGGCAGCTGATTTCAATCTGATAATCTCCAAAACTAGCTAGCCTGTTAGGCAAGTAGTCCTATGCTCATATTTCAACTAATTTTTCAAAAGCATCAATGTTCAACTACAGAATTAATTCAACCAAATTAATCACCGATGCGCATAGGTCAACTTGCAAATTAAACAAAACAATAACGTAAGGGACAGCCCTACTTCTTCGCAAAGCAAAATGATTAAACACTATCATAAACATAAACATAATTTTTCAAATAGTGCGCCATTCAATTTCAGATGAATTCAAATTTTCCTTTCAGCGAACAGACGCAACAATCAAATACAGTGATTAAATATATGTACAAAACACATGCAGTAGCATTTAAAGGAGTAGATTAAATTCAATTCTTTTAATTTAAACCGATACAAATAGGAAAATTTCGCGGAAAGCTCAAAGCATTTTTTAATTTTAATTCAAGTAATTTTTTTTTTTTACTAAGTGCTCGACCAAACCAAATCTAATACCCCTTGACAGCGTGATTCAACGCTCCAGGGAGGCCCTAATCTTCCCACCAGCAAGGGGAGGCCACATGGCGTGAACCCGAGATCGCTAACAGTCGCCACTCGGGTTGTACGCCTTCACTGAGGCCGTCGGCAACAGAACATTTTGACAAGTGAACTGTTGACGGCTTAAGGCTCAGTGGAGGTGGCCGTGGTTGGAGCTAAGGCGGCAGCTAGCCAGGACCGCCTCCATCAAATGGGGAACAGTGGTACACCAGTCGCGGCCACTCAGCTAACGGGAGTGAGAAGGGTCCAGCGGACCGATGAGTGGCCGTGAAGTTCCTCTCCACACGCTTAGGGGGGGTGATGACACCCCCGCCCCTGGGGGAATTACTCCCCGACTGGTCGGGGGAGGGACCCCTTTCAAACTTAGGGGGCTGATGGCTGGCCGGCGGGCGCCGAGAGTCGCCCGGCAGAGGGCGTGGCTGAGCGCCCCCGCCCGTGGGGGTCGAGGGCCTGGCAGAGCCCCGAGAGGAGACGCCGTTCGCACTCACGCACAAAACGGCATGATGATTGCCCTGGCAATGCAGACAGGGCCGCCGATGCGGTCCAGTCTCGCTGGAGGTGTCCACCCAAACATGAGCAGCACCAGCGGCGCTCCTTGGCGATAGTTCGCCTCGCTGTAACCGGCTTACCTAATAATTTCGGGCACGACGTTACCCGATGATCAGATGCTCGACAATAGGAGCATGAGGGGGTTGACGACGACTTGCCTGGAGGATTCAGCCTCTCACTGGGCACGGCTCGTAAGTCGTCAACGGTGCCCGCCGCGCTCTCCATCCGCCGGCACTGCTCCTCCAAAAACCGCAGCAGGTCATAGAAGGGCGGAATATAGGAGGCCTCGTCCCCGCCGTACCTCTCCTCAAAATGGATTCGAAGGTCGAGAGGTAGACGGGACAGCACGATGCGGAGCAACAAAAAAGCCCATTCGCCCACTGGTAAACCCAGCCGCCTCAACGTATTACAGGCCACCAAGACTGGATCCAACAGGTCCGGACGCAGTCTGGCCCGGTCACTAAGCAGCGGGAGGCTTAGAAGCTGCTTAACATGCTCGTCCGCAATTCGCCGGACATTGGCGTATCTTCTGGCTAGGAGGTCCCGAGCAGTCTGGTAGGCGTCGTCCGACAATCTCAAGTGGCCGACGACACGACGACGACGGAGGCCAGGAGGTACACCATCTTTTGGCTCGGGGTCAAGTCACTCCGGGCGTCCACTAGGCTGTCGAAAAGACCAACGAAGGTCAGCCATTCGGAAAGGACCCCGGAGAACTTTGGCAGGTCCAGAGTTGGGAGTCGTCCCAACAGCTCCGGCTGAAGCTGCTTCAGAGAGGACTCTGACAGGTCACTCATCCGAGCTTCACGCGCCTCCTCGGCATACCTGCCTTCAGCCTCGATCAACTCGTCCGTGAGCCACAAGAACTGCTCATAGTCCGCGAAGCAGGACCCCAGGACTCCCTTCTCCACATCCGAATCCTCGAGCTCAGCTTAAGCCTCCTCCACTGCGGCCCTTCGAGCATCCACCTGCTCGAACCGCTTCATCAAGTTATGGACCCTATCCGGTCGACCTATCAAAGCATGGGCGCTTGTGGCCCAGCGTAGCTCAGTCCGCAAACAACGGATCAGTAGCTTGGGCGATGTCATCACTATTAAATGCAAATTACGACGCGGCTTGAGCACAGATTACAAAGATAACAAACAAAAAATACAACAAAAATTAACAGTTAATAAATGAAGTTCCTATCAAATCGCGTTGAATAGAAATTACACAAATACGAATTACTACGTATCAACCAAATACAAGTTAGCACAAAAGAAAAGGCACAAATCAAATTAACAAATAACAAATACTAGTGCGATCAAATCAAGTTAAATTCAAATGGCGCAAATACCAGTACTACTCTTTAGTTCAAATACAACTTACAGTATAAACGAAGATACACATCACGGTCGATCAACAAAAAATGCCTAGCTCGGAAATCGACCCTTCGATAAGTAATCCACTACAACTATCCGAAAACGATAATTAACCGATTACGTAAAAATAACCATCTACCTACATGACTTATATCTCTAGAAAACTCCCGCTTGCGCAACCTAGGGCGCGGCTTTTCAAATCTACCCACTAACCAGAAAAAAGGCAAGCAACAAAGAACAAAGGGAAATAATTCTATTATTACGTACAAAAAAATATTTTTACGTATTACGGACGGGCGTGATTGTAGATACAAATTAAACCAATCAAACCAACGCTCCCTGCCACCAGAATTGTTTAATGTTTATCAAACACTATGTTCGGGATCGACCGGGAATCGAACCCGGAACCGCGCTCTGCTACCAGTTTGTTACGGCCTACGGCTGCTCCCTTAAAGGATCCAATCTTCAGGGGCCCATAAGCTGAAGATTTCCCGAACAGACGTAGGTCGGGCCCCAATGTGGCCACGTGGAAATTCCTAATTACATTAAAATATAGGGGGGAGCGTTATACTACGGCCAGTCGACCGGAAGGAATTTGGATGAAGCTTACTTACCTATCCAAGGCGACTGGTCCCTCCGGAGTCGGTCAGGTCGCATGTGGTTGTGTAGTGCAAGGGAAGGAATGGTGATGTGGTGTGTATCTGGGTGTGACTGATGGTGATTGAACCTAGACCTTGGCCGTCGGCAGCAGCCCGAGCGTCGACACCGCTCCAACTTGAGGGCGCCTTTCGAGGTTGTCCACAGTCACTTTCTTCTTTCGTCACGTTGACAGTCAATTAACTCTATCGTACGATTTACTAACTTACAGAAGCCACTAACTATCGCTGGGTATAATGGTTACAGCACAAACGCACACGGAGTTTAAAGGGTCAAAGGTCACTACCGTTTCGCGTAGCAATAGTTAATTCTAGAATCAGAGGCCGCACTATCTAATATTGCCGAATGCACTTATGCAGGTTTTGAGTCAGACACAATAAGTCCCGAGAAGCTCTCCAGTAGGAAAGCGCGTCACAATGATAGACCGTATATTTACTGGCCGCGCCGAATTATTCCGAGTTCCCTAACAGAATGGACCGCGTGCTCACGTCAGCACCGATTATGGACGACTGACTTTTCTCTCGCGACTCGCGCGCTCGTGCCACGCCCAGCCGAACTTTAAACCGGAATCGCGCCGAGGCGAGTGACATCTGGTGTCGACTCCGACAACAGTGTTTTGCGCGAACACATAGATATTTACATGTCCATATATGCGCATACATACACGCTAAATCCTAAAACAAGAATTTAATCTTAAAATCTTCAAAAAAATATTTCTAACTAACCAATCACAGCGTGAGGAGCTTAGGCCTCCATCCGCTGCCGGCATGCTTCGATAAGCTATCTTTCTCGCACTTATGGCTACGCATCAGTCTTTTTTGTCGTATTAGTTGGTAAACTTTATTCATGTCTGGGAATTGTTTAAAACCGCTAAATTCGTCTGGCGATTTGCAGGTCTTATTAACATTACTCAATAAACACGTGATTAAAATTTGAGATTGCCAAAAGTATATTTTTTGGGAACTTAAAAAAAATATTTTTGGAGAGGTCTGGTAATACTTTATAACCGACAAAAACGTCTGGGATTATTTTTTTTAAATTATATAAAAACTAAATTTAAAGATATAAAAGAAATCAAGTTGCCAAAAGAACATTTTTTTGGATTTTTTTTGCAAATGTTATATACTGCGCAGTAACAAAATAACCGCAAACGCACAGCCAGACTCGCGGGACTGGATTCGCCAATTGACGAAATTATATTTTTTCACAATTTCAACTTGCCCAAAGGATCTTCCCAAAATTCGTCGCCAGCTCTGTCTATATGGTGAGTGTAGAAAACCGGAGACCCTTTTTACTGGAAAAGAGGCATTCCATCTTAGTCCTCATGGCTGTCAACGCATCTGCAAACTGGACTATGAAAACGAGATCAATTGATGTGATTTTTAAAAAAAAAATGTTATTTCAGATTGAGGAAAAGTCTGAAACATTTGTACCTGGTACATCCTACATTTTGGTTGAAGTCATTTGTCGTAATAACGAAGCCTTTCGTCAGGTAAGACTCTATAAAGACATTTATTTGTAATTGCACACTGCCCTGTGACGATGCAAGGGACCCCATGTGTGCAGAGATCTTTTTTACACTGAAAATCTGTGAGCATAACCCTCTCCTTGCTGCTGAACGACATAAATGACATGATAATGTATGTATACATAACCTTGATCTTGTTCATGTTCATTTTAACACTATTGTGGTCATTGATATTAGGGCTAAGATCTGTTATCTATTTAACCAATTGTGCCGGAAGGAGGGTTACGTTCTTTGAGTGTATGTATGTATGTCTATTACTTTCGCACGCTCTGCAACCTAAACGGTTTGATGGATTAAAACGTGTAGTGTCGTTAGTTTCGTCTTAGTTGTGAAAGTGACATGGGTATAAAAAAATCTAAACTTTTTTTCGGATTTTTAAATTAAGGCTTATTTGCTAATAATGTTGTTATATAAAAGTTGATATTTATACCATATTTTTTCCAGTTCTGTAGCTATAAAACATTATCCAATATAACATTCCTCACATATACACCGTGTATTCTTTTGAAGAAATATGTGACTTGTAAAGATATCTCTATGCATCGCCTCCACGGTCTCATCAAAACATCAGATTTCCCAAGGCTGGTGCGTAAACCTGTATGACCTTTAAATGCACACCGTGTGGTGATTCTGTTCTTAAGCTCAAAGAGGCATCTTCAGTACACCCGCACTTCTAATGCTAGCGCCCATGCGCTCACTGAACTCTTGCAATAATGTTAGTGCACTTGTTCTTCTAAATTATTAGTGCCTATGCTCTCGCAAGAACCATCTAAAGTTCCTTCCTCAACACACTCGTTTTTATAAACTGCTAGTATCGCTCGCAGGGATAATTGTAATACACATGCACGATAAATTCATTTGTTTTTGCAAACTTTTACCGTCTTTGAGTCCACAGAAAATATTACTATGCTTTCGTTACACGAAGCTCTTGTTCTTGTAAATAACTAGTGACCTTTTTTCCATGGTGAAATTCCTATGCATATCCGCCTCACGAAAGCAGAAAAAGAGTTAAGGTATTAAAAAATTATAATTGCCGCATATAGCTGTCTATATCATCTCGCTCCCCCTCCTTTTCCTCAGGCAAGGCACGCCGGAACACAGGCAAACGCTTTGTTCAACTAATTTTCTACTGCGAAAATCGTATAGCACTCAACAAGTCATACTTACACAAAACAGCAATTGTGAATGTACCGAGTTGCAGTAATGTACAGATCGCGATTCAATTTCGTGCTACCAACTTACAGAAAAAATAGCAATATATTCTAGACTTTTCTTAAAATGACTAATTACAAAAAGTATAATAATAGTGATTACTTAACGTTTTTGGAGAAGGCTTACTATTACTTACTGAGTTATATGTTTATTATTTTTTTACCTATAATGTATGATAAAATGAAATGATGTAAGAATTTTCTATTTCACAGTTCAAAATTCTTCCGCAAGTTGAGTTATGTAAGAAGTTTGAGTGAGTTAATGCAGCAAGTGCCTGTGGAGCCCAATGCCATTCCTGAGATTGTTAAGGAGTACGATGCCACTCGCTGATAGAAGCAGCTGCTTGTTTACCTTAATATCGAGGTCTCTGATAAGAGTTTCAGGGTTTTCGTAAATAGTGAAGTCAGATAACAATAAATTGTTTTCATTATTGCCTTAGCATGGAATAATTTGACTGAAATTTTTTGCATTTACTTACTCAAAGTTTACTTATATACTATGCATTGTATATATTCGCAATGTCTGTTTTTAACCGACTTTTAAAAATGGAGAGATTATCAATACGTCTGTATATATTTTAATTTATTTATGTATGTTCGGGCATAACTTCTTTCTTTATAAACCGATTTTAATGATTATTCTCTTATTAAATAGTTTATAGGGGTGGGGCCCATATAGATTTTAAGAACATAATACCTTGAATGTGATATTCCATAATCTACTCAAAAGGAAAAAAATAACACAGGAAAAACTCAACTTCAAAATCTAAAAAGAAAAAAACAATTTTTACATAACAGCTTCTGAAGTCGAGGCTATAATTCTTCGATACACTTAGCACCAACGTTAAAAGCTACTATGTGAAAATTATTATTTTTGGTTTTTAAAGTCAGTTTTTATTTATTTTTGTTTTTTAACTTAAAATATTTAAATAACCTGACCAGAAAAACAAAAAGCGTTCTTCTGGATTATAACAGTGGCGGTAACATACTCAGACCAATAAAAGTAAAGACAGAATCGTCTCAAACTATCGCGACGAAATAAGCGAAGACTGGTATTGGCTTTGTGTGCGAGACTTTATGTAAGGGCACGGTAAGATTTGCGCATGAGTTGCCATATGTAAGCTAGCAAGCGTTGTAGTGTGAGTAACCCAGTGCAAGGAATATAGTTTTGTGAAAAGTTATGTTATCAGGTATGGTGTTTTAAGTCTTGGTTGTATTAAATCAAAGAATTTAGTTTTACAAGTGCTCTTTATTATTACCAAATTGAGAATAACGCAACAAAACTTATTTATTATAATAAAGCCTCATAGGTTGCGTCAACTTTTTATATTTCTGGTGTTTTTAATAACAAAGTATTTTTATAAATAGGTTTTTTTTTATTTACACTTATTTGTATAAAAAAACCTTAATGAAAAGGATTACAAATAGAATATATTATATGGTAACAAAAATATATAAGTATGTTATTATAATAATACTATGTAACACCACAAAACCGTGGTTTGTGGTATAACTCGGGGGAGGCCTATGTTCAGCAGTGGACTTGTGAAGGGCTGTAATGATGATGATGGTGATGATGATGATGATGATGATGTCACACATTCCCACTTACTCACGACAGACTACCGAGCTTCCGTCTTCAAACTTCATATTGACGAATTGTCTTTATAATGCTGATGCACTCATCACTTCTAAGCGCAATATTCCGTCTTTACTATTTTATTGTTCTGATGTAATGTAGTAATAACCTTCAAGTTATTTTTGTGCGTTAAGTATTTAATTACCAAAAATTAATAATTTTGACTTTATGCATGCATGTGGTATATTTGATTTATAATCTTGTATAAGATATGGTCCCCTCCATATGTTTTATTTTCCTGGTCGGTTTATACTTTTTATTAGATCTTTTGCTTACTTTAAAAAAAATGCTTGTAAATATCATAATCAACTGCTAAATGGGCTAGAGCATATTGAACATTTTTCATTTAAAAATTATTTTTAAACTATTTTTTTTCCACTTCCACTCACTTTATTCAAAAAGTTAAACCTTTTATTGCTTTTGTAGTAAAATATATTACTAAAATGTGCTTCAACGTCACAGACAGACTTTAAAACACAGATATTATCCTACCTCGATTCCATCATATTGCACAACCAAAACACAAACAAAACAATTATTGAAAATACTTCCGAAAACGCAAATAAATATTTATTAATTGACTGGATGTACACTGCACAACAACAGATTTCAACAACAGTATTGCAACATGGTGTTTATGTTTTGTGCAAGGAATAATTCTGCAATAAATTGAATGTGATTTTTAATATATTAAGCTCACATTAATGTTTCTATATTCGATTTAATTTTGTACCAATATTTACACTTTGATTATGTGTTTATAATGTTTATTTTATAGTATAATTACAATGTTCGCACTATTTTTATATAAGTATTTGTTTTCTTATCTTTTTTAAATGTTGTTATTTTTTCTTTATATTGTACTTTAAGAAATTTTATATTTAAAATTTCTTAGATATTCCAATTCAATGCAATAATATTTTGCTTTCCAGAATAAATCTCATGCACTGAAAAATAATATCTTCTATTTCGTTGTTTCTATCCAATCATTTCATTCTTATTCATTGTGCTTATAATGATTTATTCGTAATAAATAAAATAAAGTTTTGTATATATCTTTGTGTATCCATCGTGTATGCATACATTGGTTCCGTTAAATTTGATTGTCCCAACAAAGTTATATAAAATATTTTTTCTGCATATGTAGAGACTAGAGACCAAAAGAAATAATAGAAAAGAATAGGTAATAACACTTGCATTGAAAATTTAAACCTGGTATACAGAATGATCCGACAGTGTACGCTTTCCTTGCCACTCATTTTTTATGTATATAAATTAAATATATATAAAAATTACATATAACAATCTGTGAAGAAATATATAGTTTTAACTCTTTGCATCTTGAAATCATTATAATCATTATATTAGCTTTCCGAGTTGCCATACTAATACTATACTTATAATTTGTGCCACTTTCACACAATAGAATTACACGACATTCCAAAAGCATATTTTGAGCTCATGAAGTTGCCATACACGTAAATGTAAATTAAATCTAAACAATATAATGTAACTAGCATGCAACAACGAAAATATAAAAATAATTGTATTTATTATAAATACATTGGTCAGTGATAATTATTAAGTCAAAGCAGAATTTTTATTCTAGTTTTTATATCGGATCTGTAATAGATTTTTTATTCTTTGCACATTTTCTTTTTGCACAATGTAGGTACTAGGACTTTTAATATCAGTTTTATATGAATAGGGAAATAGATGCAACTAAATAATTTGTAATGGAATTGATATTATGTTGTTATGCCGTTTTATATGTAAGAATATTCTTAAGTACAAAAAAAAATCCCGTTATAATATAAAATACACGTAAGCGTAAATGTATATTTTAAAAGTATTGTTTTTTTGAGTAAGTATTGCTCGTAAGTATTGTATTGAGTGTTGCAGGTGTTTTATAGAATGAGGTGGTAATATGTATGTAGTGTATGTGTATTTTATTGTTTATTATAATGTAACTCCTTGCCTCATGATCTGAAATTAATACTTTTTTTTATTCTTTTGTTAAAATATTACTTGTAAGTCAAAATGAGTTAGATGAAATCTTGGTATTTTCTTCTATATTTTGATTATGTATGAAATGGGATGCATTGACATAGGAGACAGGTATAATGTTTTTAATATTACAATCTAACTTTATTAATACAAACATATTTAATGTATACAATATGTAAAAAAAACCTCTGTTCGATCTGTGAGGATGCTTTTAGATAGGTATCATGATATGATTCTGTTTATGTAATCCTTTTCAAATAGTAAATTAATAAAAATACTTTAAACATTGCATCAAAACTATATGAATAATGAGGTTGGATAATACCTTACAACGTAAAATTTAAAGATAAAAGCTTTTACAAAAATTTACTTCGCAAATATCCGCGTTATAAAATAAAACGCACTATCATATATATATAGATAGTGCACGCAATTGAGGGAGGGCGGGAGGTGCTTCTTCATACTAGGTAAGACACATCATTTTATTTTAAAACGCGGATATTTGCGAAGTAAATTTTTGTAAAAGCTTTTATATAATGGATTTCCGCAAAGTAACGCCTGATTCTATTAATTAAATTTAAAGATCTTAATTTTTTTTAATTTAAAACAGACAGTTTAAAGTGGTTATTGGATAGCTAAATTACTTACAAAAAGACCTCTAGAATAGGTCTGCAGGTATTCTTAGATTCTGCGCAGACGAAGTCTATAACAAAAGCTAGTTTGAATTATAAACAACATTTTTATTTTCATTAATAATATGATTTGCGGTAATTATGTGCCCCTTCTCGATCAGACGGGGTGTTTCTTTACATATTGTGTTATCACCGAATTAATGCATTTTAAACATTGATACATTTCAACATCAACAGTCATTGGCTTTGAATTAGATCAGTCGAATTATATATGATTAGAAGAATATAAGATTGTTGTTTTAATCAATACTACGCTTGACCAAGATCTTAACTAATAAGTGGTGATAAGGTCCTAGATGGTTAATCTTATAATCTAGAAAATGCATATTTACTCTTGCCTTGATAAGTCCCAAACAGTAGTGGTGGGAAGACTTGCGTATGTATAGAGTTCCAACCCCTTGCTGTGCGCGTCGAAAACGATGAATCGAAGTTTACAAAATTTAAATGACATGTGTTTTCTGCTTAGAGCTCACCAGGCCTCTTGTATTTTCATTCTGTATTTCTATATCTGTATTCTTCTAGTTCCTTGCAGCTCTTTTGCACTGAATGTAATTGTGAGGTGAGTATTAGAAATCTAGTGAAAATAATAATGTAACTCATAGAATTAATAAATTGTATGTTGTGTGCACTGCTCTCAACACATTCAGGGAATTGTTGTACCGATATGTAATATAAGTCACTATTAATTTTTGAAGTGTTGACTGTATTGTTTTGTGTAGATTTAGTTACTTTAGTGGGAGTTTTCCAGTGGTACGAAACTTATAAAATCGTAAATAAGGTTTAAAGGTATTTTACATTAGGATGGAATGAGCAGCACAACCTCAGTTCCGCTAATTATATTATTATCAGTCTTAAGGTTTGGTTGATTAAACACCGATTTTCTATTCTCAAATGGCAATAGATTTCTAAAGGTGTTTGGTAAATCATGAAAGTTTTTTCATGGAAATTAAGGCTGTAACCTGTAATAGGCTTGCCGATGATATGGCTATGTTG